ATTATTGAGAAATTCTTCAAGATCTTGTTTTTGTCATCTTACGTCTTTCAATGAAGATGGGAATATTGACAGGGAAATAGATTTGAATGAAGAAGTTTCGTAAAGAGCCCGAACGGTAGTGTGATGTAAAATTACTCATGCTAGAAATTTTCATAAAAGTGCCCCGAAAAATGGCGCTAACTCGGTAACCCGATTTTAACGAAACTTGTTTTATTCTGTTTCTATTCCCATTTCATTACAAATATGCCGCTATTGTGCGCCGTTTTTGCTGTATTTGATTACAGACAAGCAAGTAAACAAACAAACAATCAGAGTTTTAGTAGTATATATATTATAAAATATAGAAAAGGGAAGATGAGCTTAATTATAAATACAAATTCCCTATTGTTATTCAGAAACATAAACGTTGTGTCCCCTTGAAGCAAATATTTGTTTCGGTATCACATATAATGTACACGCTATGTTCAATTTCAGATAAGAGTTCAAGCAATAATATACTTGAAACGCTAGTATTGTTCTAAAAATTTGTGAAACACTATTCTTTCTTTTCAATATTTCATAAGATAATAGTACTAGGGTTTTAGTAGTTTTCATTACTACATGTACAGTCTTTATTCATTCCCTTGCTGTTTTTAGAGAAGAAAGGTGTATAATAGTAATTCAACTTCACTACGTCTGCTATATTTATTGCCAACGACGCGTTTTGCTGAATGCTAGAGACCATCAGGCTAGCTGGGACATAACAAACATATTAGTGTTCGAAACGCTATTTATATAAGCCAAAAACAAACGGATTATACATATAGCGCTCTCGTCACTACGTTTTTTTTTGTTTTTTGTTTTTATCCCGGCCGGCTTGATGATGTCTGGTATTGAGTGAAAACTGTCATCGGCAATTAATATGGTAGACATAATAGATGAAATACTATTATACATTCTTTTTCTAGGAAAAAAGTAAGAGATCAACTAATGAATGTAATGTTAAAAATACGTTAAACCAAATATAATTTATTATAATCACGCTTTGCCATCAAAGGCGCTCGCATCATAACAATTATTATGACATATCATATAACGTATAGGGAACTGTTTGGTTAATTAGTCAAACCAAACGACACAGGGTTTCTTATTAAAAAATAAAACATAGCTCAACACATTCGCGCTAAAATAATTTTTAATATCTAATTCCCTGAGCATGTTAGAACAACTGTTTTAGATGTATTTAGAAGTAAACTCAAATAATGCTGCAGAGAAAATATGAATTTTTCAAAAATTGGAAATTTTATAAATAAATATTACAAAGAGATAAATAAATATGACTCAGAGTAAAGGACTACATGATATTGTTTTTATTAATATCGTAAATTGATTCAATACTAGTATACAGACTAGAAATTTAATTCATCAAAAGGACGAACCAAGCGGAGAGAAATTACAAGTTTTTCTTTACATCCGTTCCATTCAGCCCTTCCAGCTTGTGGATCTACCTGATGAGGAAGGTGTAAACCAAGTCTAAAAGTCTTGGTAGAACAGTTTACGAATGACTTTGTCACGTCCAGTTTGATTTCTTCAATTGACTGTGTTCCAGGCAAGTGAATTCTGATCACCATATCTTCACAGCTGACTGAGCTTGGCCCTTTGTTTCCCATCTGAGAAAATAAATCATAGTATAGACGCAATGAAAGAGTGATTAAGCACGCCTTAGACAGAAATTTAAGTTTTGATTTGTATATAGATAGCATGAATGTAATCATTCCAGTTTTAAAAGCTCACACAGATACAATACAACATTTGCCAAAAGCAATTTTCGAAAACTCATGTACCATCTGTGACATAACCTGTAAAGCAACTTGGAAAACAACAAAACAAAAATGGTTTGCTTCAAAATGTTTGCACAGATTACATAAATGGTTATCTGCACATAACCATCCCTAATTCTAAACTGATAGAGTAGAGAGAAATCATAATCCATCACCAACTCTGACCGAATAGTGGGATTTGACCATCATTCTTATAACGCACCTACAAACCCAAAATGACGAACTATTTTCTGTGGCAACACGAACAATAAATCCTAATATTCACAATCCGATAATGATAAATAGGTCACTCCCGGCCTCAGTAAAACGAACAAGAAATATTTACTTTTTAACGATTCAGTTTAACACATTTTTAAAAATGTTTCGAATGTACACTGCTGATCTGTAATAATGTCTCTGATAAAATCAGTATGAATATTGACACATAACTACATACTTTGCAAAAGTTATTTTGAAAATACTAATGATTTGTTATTGTGCAGCAATATTATTTTTTTTGTAATCTTTGGGAAATCAAATGCGAAATATTGGGCGTAATAATACTTTATGAGAAATTGTAGCATTAAATTATTTATGTAGTACATATAGAAATGAAGCAGGGGGGGGGGGGCAGTAGAGAGAGAGAGCCAGGGCAATAACTGTAAGCATTTTTAATAGTTTGAACGCTTCGAAATTATTCATATACATATTCCATCATTACAAATCTATGAGAAAAATCAATAAGAACAATCTTCAACATACAAGAAATATAAAACACATAAATTTGCAAAGTAATAGGACATTATAATAATCATGGCAAATGTGATTTAAAAAACATTCTTGATTGCAGAAGATTTTTTACTTACACTATTTACAGATTTCGTATCATAGAGGTGTGGACCTAGGCCAAATTGTTGTGTTAAACTTAGGCCCAACAGACAAAATAAATCTGAATTTATATTGTTATACCCGCCTTTTTTCACATAGAGGTGTAAAGAACTAAGCTGAGAAGACTAGGAAGAGTAACTATTTGCAGTCAACATTATATTAAATAATAATATTAGTGAAATTAAAAGAGAAGAAAGTGAACCGATAAAATAAAGTTAGCTTAAATGAAATCTACGTTATGTTTAAGATACCTGAAGATAGACATCCTCTGTTGTAACCTGTTGTTTATATAAAATATCATATGAAGGCTTCTGTCTTTTATCATCATGACCGTTTAGCACAGACTCTTCAATTATACCATTTTTATTTTTTGATATTTCGCGTGTTTCAGATTCATTACACTCTGGTAAACCAATTGAATCTGGACCAAAGTGAGACGATATAAGACCAACGTTTTTCCCACTTGCAAGTTTAGGCTTGAACTCATCATCACTATCACTCTTTGAAGGTGTAAGAAGCTCTGCTAACTGTTGAATTTGAAAATAATTCTCTTCAAAAGTTGTCATTATAGTAATATATTCCTTATTAAGCTAACTTAGATTAACTTTAATGAAAATGAATTTAAAAAATCACTTGATTTGTCTTGGCTAGTTGATGGTTATATGGCCAGTCTTTTGCCTAAAGAATAAAGTTGAGACGTTACGTTAGCTGTTGATGAAATATTCGAATCATAGTCCGTTTCCATGCAGTACTGAAGTATACGTTTAACATACTTTGTTTACAACACTGTTGCTAAGATACAGAGCACTAGCGACATCGCACGAATTATGTTATCTGTAAAGCGTCCAGTATCTGTATGTTTAGAGTTCCATGTATTGTGAAAACGTAAGGATATTTACAAAGACACAAGTTAATTCGTATTGAATTATGGAAACATACATTTCATGGTAATATTGTTTTATATCGTTTGTTTCCTATGCAAGTGACATCTTTAAATATTGACCATATTTTTATAATAAAATTAAACATTCGGTGTGGAGGAAAATAAGAAAGTTGATTTTTTATAGTTTATATACTTTTTGAAATGCGTTATCCACAGTTTCGTCAAATCCTGTTTTTCAATATTTTATCTCGTCGAAACGTTTTAATGCGATGTGTGTATATATTCGTTTGCTGATTACTAAACCTTTCAATTGTCACTAAAAAGAGGAAATATTGTAATCCATTTCTGTATAACAAATAAAAGTTTCAAGCTATAACGATACAGAGCACACACTTGAGTATGTATGTAGATAGTGAAATAGATCCGTGTACGTTTCAGATATAATATTCAAATACACACGTATATATATATATATATATATATATATACAATAGTACTGTCTGTTGTATGTTCGTGTAACTTCTTCGCATGGTGTGGAAGGATCTCGGTATGGAGGTTCATTAGGTACATGCGGGGGTGTATAAAAATTTCCGTTTTGCGGGTTTTATGGGCATTTTTGCCTTTTTTAACCACTAATTCGCTTCCTGTAGATGGATCTTCATCAAATTTTGTATGGAGTTTCATTGGGTCCATACGGAGATACACGCGGTTTTACATTTTGTGTTTTGCAGTTTTTATGGGAGTTTTTCCGTTTTTTACAATTACGTATAAGCTAAGCAACTTTTCATGTCCTAAGATAACCTTTTATTAATCATTAATTTACATAACTTCCGTCCAAGGGACAGGTACACCACCTAATGTATATATATATATATATTATTATTATTATTTTCGCTGTTTACCACAAGAGCGGCAAGACTGAGTGTTCTTTGCTGTGTCCATGTGGCTTCGGAAGTTAAACCTTGTTGTATTTAGTAACGGGCTGTGTCTGAAGTATTGGATGTTATATCAACCACACATATTTCAGTTACGTAAAGATTAGTAAAACAATATTTTGGAAACTAACTAAGAGCTCTTGAGTAAAAATGGCTGATGTTGAAGAGAAATTGAGTAAAAAGTAAGTACACGAACAAATTAAAATGTTTATATTCTACGTAGATGGCATTCAAATTCCAATGTTGAAGTTCGACTTTCAAACTCAGTTTAATTTTTTTGAGTACGAAAATTTCACTTAGCTTCAAGTTCATCTTTCAGATTCAACTTTCAAGAACATGCTGGTGCTAACAGTAGTACTATAATACTAATAATGCACTTTTTGAAGGCCATAGATAGGCCTAAATAAAATGTTTTTAACTGTGTACTAGTTTAACGTTGAATGTTATTTATGATTTTAACTTTATAGACAAGTGCCAAAATACTATAATTAGTTTAAATTTAATTTTAAATAAGATACTACTATTACTATTAGTATTACTAGTAGTAGTACTCACTAGTAGTGTAACTAAAAGTACTGTTACAGTGTTAAGTATCTTAGTAATTGGTTTTTTATTAATATGTTCTTTTACGTTTCACAACACAGGCTAGAGTATTTAGTTTAAAGCCCAACCTTTTATTTTTTAGGAAATCTTCGCTTTCCCTTATAAACTCGCATAGTGTCGTCTTCGACTGCTACCAATGAAAATTCATTTTGTTAGGTTAGGTTCCAGTTTTATATTTCTGTCTTTTTCCAACTCTTGTGTCATCTTGTCCTTTTATTATTAATATTATCTTAAGAATACAGCACAGAGAGGTTTTTTATCTTCTTGTACTCCCATATAACCTATAGGTTCTAAATTTCAGTAAGATCACCTTTCTTTCCTCCAGTAAAATTAGAGTTAATACTAATAGATCTTAGCCTAGTCATATTCCTATAACTTGTAGTATAACCTTTCTATCCTAGTTTCATCCTAATAGCCCTCCTCTTAACCTTTTCAGATAAGAACATCTTAAAAAAGGAGACTAAAACTGTATACAGTATTCCATGTGAGACCTAACTAGTGATTTATATAGAAGTAATTATCTCTTTTAAGTTGTAAAATCAACATCTCCATAAATACACCCTAAGATTCCATTAGCTTTACTATTACTATTAGCAACAGAGCACTGCCATGATGGCTAGAATGACTTAGACACCACTATGCCAAGATGATTTTCTTTACTCACACAATTGAGTGAGTTCCTATTTATAGTAAGTATGTGACTTAAGTTATAACCTAAGTTCATTATCTTGCACTTTCTATGGTTAATAGTCATTTTACAAATATCTGTCATACTTAGCAATCGATCCAAGTCATTCTGTAGTACCTCAACATCTTCAATACAACTAGAAATACTGAAAGGTTTAATGTCATTGACAAACTTTAATTATAATTCTTTATCAACATAATTAATGTAAATAAAAAGTAAAAGCTCAAGTAGTAACCCTGTAGGTAGTACAAGTAACTTGTTGTTGATTCCCAACAGTTTATGTTAACACTGAAACCATCTGTCTTTCCTTATTTAGAGCTTTAAATGATTGCTTGGTACTTTACTTTTTCCATGATAATAATAATAATTGTATATGCATCAGATGTTGTCTTAATACCTTTTCACCATATGAATTTAGCTTATTCTATTTTTACTTTATGTTATGGATACAGTTTGAAAATGACCACTTTACTTCAAATACCTTTTATTTATAAAAAATTTAAGTCATTAGCATTTCTTAACAAAAACAAAATCTTGCTTGGTTAATTGGTCTATTACGTCATATACATGTAAAGTAGTAGTTGGCATTTACTATAAAGTAAATTGGAAGTGAAAGCTGATGTTGAAATGAGACATTGTAACTTCTCATGGACCAGTTTTTAAAAATTTTGGGTGTCATTAGCTTGAATTTAGATTTCAGTTACAGACTGAACTGCATCAAATTTTTGTTTTTATTATTTAAAGAGGAATTCAAGCAACATTTAGCAGTTTAGTGTCTAATACACTACATTGGCTTAAGCATGGTTCTGCATTATTTAACATACTTTTAATTGTTATATTTAAATTCAAAGTCTCTCTGCTTTGATAGGAGTGTCTTTAGATTTCAGAAACATTCATCGATGTAGACTTCATGCAATGTTACACAGAAGTATCCAAACTTTGTTCTCCATGGGCTGCCATGGTATGCCAAAATGTCTCTTTATGTGTCCAAGACTGTGGTTTTCTGCCAGTGCTTATTTTTCTTCACCAGCCAAGGAGGTTCCAGAGAGGTTGGTCAGATCATAACAGAATGGATACAAGTCATTAAAAATTTGAAAAAGTATTTGTTATTACATGTAGATCATACAAACAATTGATTGAATAAAAGCTAGAACTGGTTCATGTTTAGTGTTCCTTTAAAAACACACTCACTACAAGCTTAAGTATTAGTCATCTTATATAATGATAGCCAAAGCTGTAAGAACTGAATGAATCTTTCTAAAGTAACCTTAAGAGCATAGAGCACAATTTCTATTGATAATATCAATATATTATTATTGAAAATAATTATTGAATTATTTTTGTTTTGCAATATATTTTTTAGTATGTATTTACAAACTTATTGTTAAGTATTGTAGTAATTTAAGTATGCAAGTAGCACAGAGTTAAACATTGTTTCCTGAATTGTTTAACTTCTAGTGAATTGAAGAGAAGACTTAAAGCTGAACAGAAAGCCAAAGAGAAAGCAGAGAAGGAGCAACAACGACAAGCCCAGCAGCAAGAACAAGAAAAGAAACAAAGTAAAGAGGAAGAAATTACAGATCCTAATGTGAGTTAAGTTTAATGGGATGTACATTTTCTTGGTTGTAATAAAACTAACAAAATTTTTCCATTACACCCTTGCAAGCTTCTCTTATAATCTTGATAGGTCAATAGACAGTGAATATATGCCTATTTTTAAAAGGTGTGATAAAAGTTGACTGGAAATAGATCAGTTAGTTTTCAGTAGTGATAATAATTCTAGAAAAGTAATAAAAGAAGCAATGTGAAATCACCCAACCACATGAAATCCATTTAATTAGTTTTTCTTAGCCCTTATTAATACTATTTTCTTAGATAATCTTCTGTGTGATAACTTATCATAAACTATTTGAAATCCCAAGTATGTCGAGTTTACACCATTTTCATTATCTAGATGATAAGCAATATAAAATTTAAAAAAATTCAAAACTAAACTTCACTTTAGTGATTCTATGTTGGCTCTTATCATATTTCAATAAATGGTTTTGCAAATCTCTTATCAGACTTTCTAGAATTTTTTCTCACTCCAGTAGTAAAGCTTATAATTTCATCAGGGATAAGTACAAGGGCCTTTGCTTATTCTTTATTTGTTATCATAGAGTTGGTGGACTATATATAGGGATGGCCAAATACTCAATAGGCATAATACAGATATCTATGTTAAGAAATCAACAATGATAGTGTGTTTTACTTTAAAAGATAATTCCACTCACTTTCATTTGTTTCTCTACCCAACAAGGCAAGAAACCTTCACTAGGATACGAAACTAGAAAGTGACCCACCAAATTGTTCATCTTTTTTGCTTTTTGTTTCAGTTGGAATAACTTACAACTACATTATCACTAACATCAGTTTAAACCTAAGTCCACTCTGTGTGTTTCTGGGCAGTACACAATGGCATCGCTTAGTCATAATAACTTGTAATAATTTTAAAAATCATAATTCTAGTGTAAACAATATTATCATTACCCCCTCCAAAATTTGCTTTTTTACAGAAATCTGGTGTTCCTTTAAAACGTACAGGGTAAAACTGGAATTATCAGCCAATAACAGATGGACATTAGATGACTGTAACATGCAGAATACTCAATGCTTTGTACACTACACAGTTGGTGTCTTTATATCATGTATGAAGTGAAGGAGTAAAAAAAAATCAGTGCACATAATATTAAGTTTTATTACACACATTACATAAACTATCAGTTAGGGGAAAAAACATCACAAAACAAGTAATAAAAAAAAGATTTTGTAAATGTAAAATGATGTAGGAATGGCAGTGCCAAAAATAATGCAAAGGAGAATATAGGAATGATACAGCTATATGTGGATCATCCCTAAATGACTTTCAATATTAAAATTTAATGTTACACTGTAAAATGCATACTTGACTTTAGTATTACTGCAGTTGGAAGTTATATATTGGTATGCAGTTTGTTTATAATAATATGGTTATGTCAGGGTAGGCATCAATGAAGTGTAACTAAGAGCCTAGGAAACAAGGAAAACGAAGTTGAGTCAAAACGTGTCTTAATTATTACAGACTCTCAATATGAAGTTGGTTCAATTGACTGACCTCATAACCATTTTGTACACATGCATTTTACAGTGTAACATTAGCTTTTAATATTGAAAGTCATGTAGGGATGATCTATGTATTGTTGTATCATCCCTATATTCTTGTTTGCATTCTTTTTGACATTGCCATCCATACGTCATTTTACAGTTACAAAATGGTTTTTATTACTTGCTGATAGAGGCATAATTAATAAACTAGTAGCTTGCTAATGATATTAAACTCATGGGTATTTCTAACTGTATTGAGAATGTTGAAGTACTAAAGAATGACTTGAATCAGTTAGTATATTGGAAAAATGCTTGGCAAATAACCTTTAATATGGTAATTGCAAGGCAATGCATTTGTGATACATTTTGGATCACATATTTAATACAGATGGGAACCTATTCAATAGCCTGACTGAAGAGAAGGATCTTGCCATAGTAGTAAAGCTAGTAGAATTTTAGTGTGTACTTATAGATATATTGATTACAAGTCAAAATAGCAAATAACCTCTTTATACAAATCACTAGTTAGGCTGCACTTGGCATATTGTGTACAGTTTTGGTTTCTTTATGTAACAAAGCGTATTGACATGTTGGAAAGGGGTTCACATGGGCTAAGTTCCAGCTAAGACTAGTGTTATTTTTCTAATGGTTTTGCATGGTTAGCTTAAAGAAGGAATTACATTTTGCAGTAGTGGAATCTGGCACCCTATAAGAATGGTAGGACAAGGTAGCACAAACATAAATTTTGGCAGGATAAGTATCATCTTCAACTTGGACAGTTTCAATTTTCTAACAGGGTGATTGGCCTTGGAAATGGGAGGACTTTAGATGTGTGAATGCAATAAATTTGAAGGAAGGCTTGATAAACATTTACATAATCATGACTGGACTTGAAATCTGTATTTCTAACATAACATTAAAGGACAGCAAGATCTATTTGATCCTATCAACTAAATTAAACTATGCCCTTAAAAAAAACATTAAAGCCCATCCTTATCATTTCAATACTTATCACACTTTCTCGTAAATCCCTTTAAATTAACTGCATCCACCACATCTGAAGGCAACCCATTCCAGAGGCCAACCACCTTGTAACAAAAATAAAACTGTCCCCTAGACTTACCATTTTCACTAGTAAGTATAAACAAAAGATGATGCATCAGCACTGTCAATCCCTTTAACAACGTTAAACACCTCAATCAGATACCTCTTTGTTTTTCAAGTTTCTTTTGAAATATTTACCTATCTTCAGTTCCTTATGTGATAATATTTCTATCCCAGATATCATCCTAGTAACCCTTTTTTAGACCTTTTTCAATAACTTGATGTCCTTTCTTAGGTAAGGAGTCCAAGACTGAACACAATACTTCAAATTGTGGCCTAACCAGTAACCTATACAGTGACATTATAACCTCTTTAGACATGTATCCAGTATTTCTGTAGATACAACCTAAAATTCTCTTTGCCCTACCACTGGATTAGCACATTGCTTGGATGGCTTAAGAGACTGGACAACCAGAACACATTATCTTTTTCTTCTTTAACAATGTTAAGGTTATTCCCATCAAAATTATACTTACATTTCAAATTGTGACAGCCCAAATGCATTACCTTGCATTTATTATAATTAAAAGCCATTTGTCATTCATTTGCCCAGCTCATCCAGTAATCCAAATCTTTTTGTAAAGGAGCATCCTCCTTACAGCCAGCAACACTCAAAACTTTAATGTTGTCAGGAAATTTTTGTAAGGTAGTAGCATCCTTCTCACAGCCAGCAACATCCAAAGCTTTAATGTAATCAGCAAATATAAATAATGTATTGATCGTTCCTTCATCTATGCCATTGATGTAAATCAAAAAGAGCAAAAGTTCTAACACTGAACCTGAAGTACCCCATTTGTAACATTAATCCAGTTTAATTGAACTCCATTTATAACAACCTTCTGCAATCTTCCATCAAGCCAGTTTTCAATCCAATAATCCAACCTATCCTCCAAATCTAGAGAGATAACCTTTAAAACAAACCTTTTATGTGGCACCTTGTTAAATGCTTTCTGAAAATCCAGATATACCACATCCACACCTATGTTCTCATCTACACAAGCAGTAACCTTTTCAAAGAATATCAAAAGATTAGTAAGGCACGGTTTTTCCTCTAGTGAAACCATGCTGACTATTCAACAAAATTTTAAGCTTTGTTAAATGACTTTGCAAAGCATCTTTCCTCAGACTTGAAAAATGGAATAATTTTAGCCAACCCTCAATCTTCTGACACATGCCCACTATTCGAGGACTTTGAAAAATTAGTAGCAAGTGGCTAATATGTCCAGTCCTTAACCTTCTTCAAAATTGTTGGGTAAATATCTGGCTCAAATGCTTTATCATTCTTTAAACTTTCCAATTTTTCTTAACAAGCTCAGAATTAATGAGATCATCTTGTTCAACCTTGTTTCCATCTAGCGACTGTAGAGGTTGAGGAATATTGCATAAATCTTCATTAGTAAAAACTAAAGAAAAAGTAGAATTTAATAACCCAGCCATCCCATAATCATCAGATATTAGCTTTCTGGTGTCAACCTTCAAAAACCCTGCTCCCATCCTAATATTTTGCCTATCCTTAATGTATTTGAAGAAATCAGTACTAGTTATTTTTACATTTTCAATCAGTTTTTTTTATACAGTTTTTTGATTTCCTAATTTCCCATTTCACCAACTGTCTTGAACTTCTTTAGTCCTCCAAATCTCCCACCACTACAGTGAATTTAAACTTCTTGTACTTATAATGCTTTTCTTTAATTCTGTCCTTTATATACTTTGTGAGTATTTTCAAAATTTGTCCACATTTAATCAGTATCTCCAACTAATTCATTTGCTCAATTCACAACAAATAATTCTTGTCATCTTTTCAAAATTAGTTTTTTTGAAACTTAGAACAAAACTCTCATAGTTCCTAATCTCCATATGTGGCAAAACATCAAACCTAGTTGAGCAATGATCATTTACATCCAGATGTTCCCCAACTTCAACTCTAGTAACCATTTCTATATTAGAAGTTATCAATATATCTAAAACAGCATTGTTCTTAGTAGGTTCCCTAATCAATTGTTGGAGAAAACCATCCTGAACTGTTTCTAAAAACCAGTCTTCCCTCATGATTTCATTCTAACATTTCCCAATCTATATGTCTGAAATAAAAATCTCCTATAATTATATCCTCATTAACAGTTGAATTCATCCCCCAGTGGAACAGCAGTAAGTTTGAACTTACAATGCTAATATCCATGGTTTGATTCCCTGTGGTGGACACAGCAGATAGTTCAATGTGATTTTGCTCTTAGAACAAACAAACAGTTGAATTTTTTATCTCCCTTTAGAGTTTCTCATCTGTTAATCTGTAACAAATTCCAACTAAGAGGCTTCTTCCATTAACAGAAACCCAAATAGATTCAATCTCATTGCCATTAG